GATTTCTCATTAAGATTAATGGGATTTACACTAACGGGCAGCAATCACCTCCTTGACCAAAACTCAAGTTCCATAATTTGACATATTTATCAATACACATATTTAATACAGTATAGGAAAACCAAACTTGCAACATACTTTGAAGCAGTAACTGTTTGTACTTGTGCAAGGTTCATTGTTTATCAATGAACTTTGAAATAACATTTTTTATTAATACTTGCATAGCCATCGAGTCTGGTTTGGATAGAGTGTACATAGCCTGATGGATATTTTGTGTAAAATAAACATTTCACAATTAAATGATACGTGCACTCCATAATAGTGTGTTACTGTTTTATGCAGTCTTAGACATTAGAGGTTTTTTTTACCATCAGTTGTATCCAGTTTGCCTTACATGATTTATGGCTGTGTTCTACCTGCACACCATCATTATTATCCACATCATCTGATGCTGTACAGGCAGTCTATGTAAACCTCTTTGTGACTTTGAGTAACTGCATATATGTTTTGGCATTTCTATTCTTGTTGGTGCTCACATAACTGATTGATGTCCTGATTTTGACCATGGTAACCTGGTGTTTGCTACTTTGCTTGTGAACCTGATGCCTTCTTGATTAACTGTTTGCAAAAGAACTCTGATTGCCTTGGCCTGGATTAATGGTCTAATCTATTCTGCTTGCTGCATTCAATTTGTTTGCTCCGAACTCTATCCTTATCTTGTAACATAAGTACTCAAACTCAAAGGTCTGGGTTTATTTCTAAGTGGGAAGCAATTATTTAGCCCAGTTACAACCAGTCCAATTCTCATATAAACCATCCCACAATAATCAATAATGAGTAAACCATGTACTAAGGTCTTGATTTCCTATTGCTAAGATGCTAGTAGTGAGGTACTCATTTCCTCTCCCCAACCTCTTTTTAAGAAAAGGAGCTTGTGAATCTCAGAGCAATTAATCTCATCCTGTTTCTAGTTATGCAAACTAGATAAATGTTACCACAATTCACAGAATTCTATCTGTGCCCTTAAAACACTGTTTATATGATTAGCTTAAAAGTGCTATAAAAATTTAAAGGGTTACTCCAACCACCATGACTACATCAGTAATTTGTAGTGTTTGTGGTGGCAGCAATCATTATGTGCAGTGCTTCAGCTGAGCTATTTTTAATTGTGTACTGGGGCTAGTTGCACCCCCAACACATGTTGGCACTTTCAAAAATGAACTTGGTTACACCCCCCCTGGATGTCAATCAGACAACCATTCCTGTTACTTCCTGGTTGGTTATTCGGTGGAACTAAACTTAAGAGGCTGGCAATTACCCAGAGAACCTGCCTTGCAGAGACTTCTCAATGAGTTGCATTGGGAAGTCTGTGATTCAACAGCAATAGAAAGTCTGGGTGGGCTTACAAGGGGGGGTGGGGGGATTAGAGGAATCAAAGGCTTCAGACAATTAATTTGCCGGTTTTGCAAGCTGTTTTTAGAAACACCCCCAAATGAAGCAATGCATAATTAAACGCATGAATGTAATAAATTGTGGTACAGCAACTAAACAGTGATTTTTATTTATTTATTTGTTTTTATTTGGTGTCTCTTGGTGTTTGGTGGAGTGTCTCTTTAGTAGGGATGTTATATAGCTTTTGTTAGAGCTAGAGGCAATCTAAGCAGTCAAGGTGTAGGTATACTGAACATATAAATACATAAAAAGAGTGTATCTAAGAAAAATAAATTGTACAGCTTAGTCTAAGGTTTGGGTCAACTTGATAGGCGTAATCATGAATTCATTACATTCTAGGCACAAGAGATAAACAGGGCGTACGGTAAGCAATAAAGAAAGAATTCATAGAATTCAAAATAATTCCATAACATTTGTATGAAAAAGACACTTGAGAAAATGCAACTGTGTGTTTGGTTCTTTATCCACTCCAGACATCCTGTTGTGTAGATCAATAATGTATTTTGCTAAATGTGTCCATATAATCATATTACCTTAGCCACCCTAGCTAAATATACCTTCTCCCTTCACACTAATAAAAGTGAGGATGTCCCAATAAATGTAAAATGCATTTTAAAAAACCTGTAAAAAGATTTTTAGAATCTTTGGCCTAAAGGTCTAATAACCATAATATTACAATGAAAGGGAAAAAAGCATAAAAAAACAAAACAAAAAAACTGCAATGCAAAAAAAACCCCACAAAATAAGTGAGCCAATTGAGGATGCTGAGCATTCAAGATGGGAAAGGCCTTTGTAAAGATCCTCCCATCTATGAATGTACAGTCAGAGCACTGTGCTTGGAGGCCAACCAATCAACACTCTCATAGAAAAGTCTCACCAATCAATATGAGAGATATGTGTATAGATATGGGCCTATATATACCTCCTGGGCCCCATAAGGTCACAAATGCAGGGATATAGGAAACTGCACATGTCGAGCATGATGGGGAAGTGGCTACTCATCATGCCACGATATTACAGGGGTCAAGAAGACCCCTGCTTTTCAATATTTCTGTGCATGTCAATGGAGAGGAGTATACAATACTTCTCTCCACTGCAGTGCTGAATTTGTTAACTTTATTTATTTATTTTTTTCACTATGATAATTTATTGTTACACACACTTTTTTCAGTTTTCATGGTAATCTCTATGAAGTAGATGTTACTAATGGTGGACAACAAAAATAAATCACCAAGTGAAATCTTTGTGGTAATTTGCAGTTACTATTATCTTCAGGTGATTGTTAATAACAACAGCTTATGGCAGATAATTACAGACAATGACCTCAAATTAATAACATTTCTAAATGATTCAATCATGTGAAAAAATTTTTTAAATGTATCTACAAACATTCCCATATACTTTATTGGTGACTTCCTTACATAAATCATTTGGAAAGTTTTTGTAACAGTATTAAATCATTTGGAAAACTTATTGGATCGAGGTTATAGTTGTAAACAAGCCTTCAATATTTTATTTACACAAATAAATCTATAAGTTCACTAACTGCAATTTAAGTGCACATTACTGGGAATGTTATGGCTGTAGGGCTTTGAGACACGCACAATAAACATTCTGATCTACTAGAAAATAAAAACAGGATAATTTGTTATTGGGAAGTTTGCATTTATAAAGTATGTGTTGCTTATTGCGAAACTCTCTAAGTACCATTAGAACTACAGTTTGATGCTGTGGTTAAGGTGCCAATAGTGCTGTGGTGCCCCCTGGTGTAAGTAGTCAAACAAATTTTAAACAGTTTAATGTCTTAACTGAGATCTGCTGGACCCTACTACTAACTCCACAACTAACACCGGAGAGACAGAAAAGTTAATTTGCTAAGAACTGATGCTCTCTGGAATAAGGAATGGGGACAAGGAGCGGCATCCGACAGTACGCAGGTGAGAAGTCAAATTGTTCAAAAACAGTTTGACTACTTATAATTGGATGAGTGTACTCCTGAGACCATAACCAACAGCAGCAAGCAAGTATTGAATATAGTGCTCGTAGTATTCCTTTAATATTTTGAGAAGACTTTATTAGTTTTCAATTAAGCACATTCCCGTATTACTAAACTAAGGAAAGCTAAGTCATTGCTCTCCTGGTCTGGTCCTGTTCTACAGGCAACCGTTTACAGTAGGCTTCAGATAAAAAGATTTCGGGTCTAACTTTAAAATCATCACTCTGACATGGTCTTTATATAGCAATGACTAAAAAGCTGAAGATGGCGGGATATCGACAAAGGGATGAACGTTGAGAAAAAACTGTCAATGTCTATCATGTGTATTTGTAACTGAAAGTTGGGTAAATAGGCATAAATCAATTTAAATGCATGATATACTGAGAAAGAAAGGGCATGTTTTTGAAATAATTTTCCACAGGCAGCCAGAACACAAAGGTATCCTGAGAAGATTTCTGGCTTCCAAGCAGACTAATGACTCTTCAGAACTGTCCATTATTTTGTGTGGATTGGATAATGTATTGTGACCCCCTTCCGCTTGGTCAAACAAATATCCTCTGCACATCCTAAAACATCAAATGTCAAACTGCCAGGTACACAGCAATCACGGGGCACAGACTATAAACAAGGATCCATTGAAATAGGTACCTTCTAATCTCAAACATCACGGGAGAATACAATTGCATTACACAGGGCTGTAATAACTTCCACAGCTGGTGGTGCTGAGGGTGTAAAAAATTAACTACACCATTTATATCCATGTTTCATTTCCTAGAAAACAGAAAAACCCTCTTATGGAGTAGAATTATTTACGTGTTTATTTCCGCAGGAGTATAGCCAGAATGTGGCGGAACAGCAGAACTTACTATATTGTTTTATGACAGCAGCAAACCATTTAGAATGAATGATAAACAAAAATAATCCTTGTTCAAGCATAGCTAAACATGCATGATGCTCCTCAACTATCACCAACATGTATTTCTAAATAATTTATTCTTTCCATCTGTCTCAAGAATAACCACTCTATTACACTAGAACTCCTAAACAAGAAAATACTGATGAGCACACTAATAAAAGTTTGAGGGTGCAATAAACCTCTGCATTTGCAGTCCAGGTAAGTAGTCAAATCAAAATTAATAATAGGCTTGCACACCTTCTGAGTAGTCAGCAATCCTCTTTATTTGCTATCAGTTCTCAGAAGACAGCCTTTCAGCCACCTTAATGGCCTTTGTCAAGTCATCTAATTCAAACAATTCTTTAATTATGTAGGGTAGAAATAGATGATATCACAAGGTAGTGTAATTTGTTAATTATGCACATGACACAATCCCCACAACAACCCTTGCAAAATCCTGTGGTCCTAAGTAGAAAAGTTGCATGATCTAACCACAATAGAAACATAGGAGCATATCTACTTAAATATATGTATGGAAGTGATACGTTTGTAAGAAGTGAACACTAAAAAAGAAACCATAATATACAACAGTATATAATATGCATAAATCAATTAAATGCATATAAAATGCAAATATAAATAAATTTACAATCTTGATACCTCCCTTCACTTATCAGAATACATATGTTGAATAAATGTGCATTATAATACTGTAGTCTGGTGATATTGAGAATAACTACATTAATACAATGAGCATTTATTCAACATATGTATTCTGATAAGTGAAGGGAGGTACCAAGATTGTAAATTTATTTATTTATATGCATTTAATTGATTTATGTATATAATAGACTTTTTTAATATTATGGTCTATTTTTTAATGTTCACTTGCTACTAAGGTACCACATCTACAAATCTAAACACACTTTTAAAGGACCACTATAGTGCCAGGAAAACATACTCGTTTTCCTGGCACTATAGTGCCCTGAGGGTGCCCCCACCCTCAGGTCCCCCCTCCCGCAGGGCTCTAGGGTGAAGAAGGGGTTAAACATACCTCTTTCTCCTCCTCCTCGGCTGAATGAGCATGCGCGGCAAGATCCGCGCGCGCATTCAGCCAGTCTCATAGGAAAGCATTCACAATGCTTTCCTATGGACGCTGGCGTCTTCTCACTGTGAAAATCACAGTGAGAAGCGCGTAAGCGCCTCTAGCGGCTGTCAATGAGACAGCCACTAAAGGCTGGATTAACCCTATTATAAACATAGCAGTTTCTCTGAAACTGCTATGTTTATAGAAAAAAGGGTTAAACGTAGCTGGCACCCAGACCACTTCATTAAGCTGAAGTGGTCTGGGTGCCTATAGTGGTCCTTTAATCCCTTAAGGACACATGATATGTGTGACATGTCATGATCAAGGCCGGACTGGCCCACCGGGATACCGGGAAATTTTCCGGTGGGCCGTCGGCACCTGGGGCCAGACAGACACCTGGGTCTGCTGGCGGATGCTGGGGGACTTGTACTGGCGCCCGCTGGGGGACTTGTACTGGCGGGAGTGTGCAGCATAAAGAGACCGGTGCCGGAATATGACGTTATATTCCGGCCCCGGTCTCATTCAGCAGCGCGCGAGGGCGGGAGAGCAGAGCGAGCGCAGCTCCCCCAGCGGCCGCCAGTACAAGTCCCCCAGCGCCGGCCAGCAGACCTCCCCCAGCAGCCGCCAGAAGACCTCCCCCAGCAGCCGCCAGAGGATCTCCCCCTGGCAGGTATTAGTAATGTGTGTCAGTGTTATGGTGTGTGTATCTGTCTGTCTGTGTCATGGTGTCTGTCTGTATGGTGTGTGTGTGTGTCTGTATGGTGTGTGTGTGTGTGTGTGTCTGTCTGTATGGTGTGTGTGTGTCTGTCTGTCTGTGTCATGGTGTCTGTATGGTTTGTGTGTGTGTGTGTCTGTCTGTCTGTCATGGTGTGTGTGTGTGTGTCTGCCTGTCTGTGTCATGGTGTGTGTGTCTGTGTCATGGTGTGTGTGTCTGTCCGTCATGGGGTGTGTATCTGTCCATCATGGGGTGTGTGTGTGTCTGTCTGTCATGGGGTGTGTGTCTGTCCGTCATGGGGTGTGTGCCTGTCTGTGTCATGGTGTGTGTGTCTGTCTGTGACATGGTGTGTGTGTGTGGATCTGTCTGTGTCATGGTCTGTCATGGTGTGTGTGTGTCTGTCATGGGGTGTGTATCTGTCATGGTATATGTGTGTTTCTGTGTCTGTCATGGTGTATATGTGTGTTTAAAAATAGTGTTTTTGCTCACCTTTTTTTTCCCCACGCAGCGTGCTGGTCTCCCCTCGACTGGCCCTGCCTCTATAGCGGAGATCATCAAGCTTGATGATCTCAGCCAATCCAATGCTTTGCCATAGGATTGGCTGCAAAACGCCACTCCAATCAGCATCTCCTCATAGAGATGCATTGAATCAATGTATCTCTATGGGGAACGTTCAGCACCTATAGAGTGTGGAGGCCCTGAATGTAGGTGCACTGACACAGGAAGCACCTCTAGTGACCGTCTGAGTGACTGTCACTAGCAGTGTCACTTTGAAGCAATGTAAACACTGCATTTTCTCTGAAAAGTCAGTGTTTACGTTGAAAAGCCTGTAGGGACATGCTATAGACACCAGTACCACTACATTAAGCTGTGTGTGTGCGTCTGCTAGTGAGTGAGCTTTCTTGCATGCATGTGCCTGCTAGTGAGTGAGCTTGTGTTTTTATGTCAATGAGCTGATGTATATCAGTGAGATTGTTTGTCTATGAGGCTGTGTATCAATGAGCTTGTGTGTGTCATTGAGATGTCAGTGAAATATATATATTACTCAATCATCTGTCATGGCAAGACATAGCCTTACATATTACACGCGACAATATATGGCGCAGTGACTTATGGGGCTGGCACAAATTTTTTTTCCAGGGCTGCTTTGTATACCCAGTCCGGCCCTGGTCATGATTCCCTTTTATTCCAGAAGTTTGGTCCTTAAGGGGTTAAGGTGCAATAATGGCTGGTGGGTTGCATGTTGCTCATTCCTATTACACATGCATTAATTGTTACTATTATTATTCACTGATGTTACAAGATTAAAAAGTGTATGTGTATTTATCAGGTGCAGAAGTACAGGGTTCACATTTAAAATATTTAGCACTCATAATGGTCTGTAATAATGAGGGATTGAGGACCAGGCAACACTAGCCAATGAGTAGCCTCTAATAATTTAACCTATTGAAAATACTTAATTTTTGCCAGGTCTTCAGTATGGGTAATTATAAACCACTCTATATCTAGTTTTTTTTGTTTGTTTTTGTTTGTTGCTTAATCTGTAAACTATTTTTGACTGCTGCACAATAAACAGCAATTATGGTAATGTAGGACAGAGTACTGCCAACACAATGGTGTAAAACAGAAGTCAATTAGATACTTGGAAACAAAAAGTATTAGATAAGTATTAATAGAAAGAACAATAACTCTCTTGCATCTTTTGAAAGATAACATCCATTGAAATCAAGAAAAAGCCTTTCAACATTCAAAATCACGCTATACTACTAATAGAAAGGGATAGAAATAACATTGAAATGAAGTGAAAGCCAATTTGTATTGAGGCTTTCAATGTTCCTGGGCAAAGATATTGTAATGTACACTGGAAATCTCTTTTAATTGCCCGCAATTGTAGCTCTAGTCTTTTGGGTTTGAAGAGGATTATATCTAGGAAGACATGTATGAGGACAGAGTATTAGTTTGACAATATATAAAAAGAAGATTGCTCTAACAGGTTCACTGTTGCGGAACTTTGAAAGCCACCAAGAATTTGTAAGGACAAAGAAAATAAAAGCCGGCGGTTATTTTACTCAATCGTTAGATCCTGTCTGGACAAAAAGCAATATCTACATACAAATTAGTGCTATTATGTCTTCTCATACAAAACAATGTAACCTGGCTTAAGTGAGGACTAAATTTAACTGATTTATGGCAAAAATTATTTGCGACGGTTTTAATTTTCAAATGCAGCTATTTATATTCTTGTAGCACCAATAAATGTTCCTATCTTTAAATGACACTCACAGTGAATTTTACCACCAATTATGTTAAAAGCTTTGTATAAAAAAATGCATACATACTTTCTTCTGTATGTATTTATCTTATTCATTTTCACTTGAATTTCACCTAATTCCTCATGTGGTCATTAGCTTCCTCTCCTTGCTCCCATTTAGATCTGTCTTTGATGTAGACAGTTTATTGCCTCAAATGAAATCATTTAATCCACCTGTTGGTCTTCATCTGATTTTTGGTGGAAAAATTGTGACCCATGAACCAGTGGCGACTGGTGAATTTTAAAGATGGTGGTGCTGACTCCTCACTTGTTGGGCTCTGCTCACTTATTCCCATGTACTCAACCCCAGACTCAATGAGACATCATGCCATGTTGAACGCTGTAAACCTATAGATACCACCCTCTGTTGTTCTTATCAATTGGCAATCATAGAAGCCTTTACAACAACCACCCTTGTTTTTTAAATCCCATGCATATATTGAATTCAGGATATATACTTAGAAAAAATATATATATTTTTTTAATAATGTCTCAATATCTTGAAATGATCAGTTACTCTGCCTCTTAGCAACATCTCCAACCATCAATAAAGTGGAACATGAACTGTAGATATAATTGGCAGACACAACATTTTATTTCTAATACACATTTATCATCATGCTGTCTCAAACTCATGTTTTCGTATGGCAATTAGTGACATACTTAATTTAGAATTGGAGAAGATGACTATTGATTTTTACACTGTACCGCTTCTGGCTTATCTTATTAATCTAATGAGAATTAGAGATAGGCAGATATATTTCACTGGGTGTCTTGTCCATAGACACTTAATGGCAAGGTGCTCTTACCAGGAATTCAAATATTGCTTTCCTGGTTTTAAGGCAGTGATGCTACAACTGATCTAATCAGAACCATCCTCTTACTTGTCCCACAGAGACAGTGTTACGTGAAGCCATTTTCACTTTTAGACATTACATTTGAATTTTAGGTTACGTGAAGGCCTAACAGAAAAAGTTTTTTACATGTTATCTATTTCTCAATATTTTAATTATATGTTTGAGAGAGGCAGGTTATGGGTAAACATTTTCCTTCCTAAGGACTTCCTGAGAACAAGCTAATGTTATACCGTCTATTCTCTAATAGGAAATTAATGTGAACGTCTTTGAAGGCTTAACTTTTATTATTATTTATTGTAATGCAGTGTTATTTTTAAATCTCTTTCTGATTTGAAATTTACAATAAAGAGTAAAAAATATGTAGGCCATTTTGTAACAGAATTATGCCATTACATTCAGCGTGTATTTTATTTCAAAAGAACATAATTGAACGTTCTTAAATTCTTTTTTTGGGGGGAGGGGAAGGATAGGTACTATTTAATCAATTTGAAAAGGATTGTAAACAGCACGTTTAAATATTATTTAGAGCTTCATATTACAGCATCAAAAAGGTGAAGCATTCTCACACAAAAAAAAATGAAATAAAAATGAACATACAAAGTTTTATGCACTAAACATCAAATTATAGTAAACTGAAAACTGAATAGGAATATTTAGGCAAAAAAGTGAAAATTTGTCACTCTGGTTTAGCCACAGCTTTGTTATTTTAGCCTAAATTTTGCAGTTTGGTTTTTAAAACTGTAACCTATGACAACAGTTAAGGTTACAAATCAAGGGCTGCTTTATATTTTTTTGCACTTTCCTTTCAATCATAGACATGCAAGT